TACACACATATATAATACAAATGAATGCTTCATGTGTGCATGTGCATCTATATCTATCTATCTTCCCACCTACCTACCTATCTGCATGTCATACTTCTAAAATTAGCATTGTTTCAATTTGTTTGGTCCTATCTACTTTGAAATATCTAATAAAATTAAAAGAATGTGAGATTTTAAAATGTACTAAGAGATGCATTTTCTAAAATTTTAAGATAATTTATAACTATTTCTTATGCTTTCTATTTTTTCTATCTATATTATATACTTTGTTCAGAATTCCACCATATGTGGTAAAAAATGGCAATAATCACCTAATTCATCTTCCTATTTCCAAACATAACTCATCAAATCCATTATCTACCTATCTATAACAAGTATCTTTTAAAGAATAATTTAATTATTTGATAAATACATTGTCCCAATAGATAAAGTCCGAAGTCTCTTCCATAACACACAAAATCTGCCACTCATTTAACACCCTCAACTAACCTGTTCCCTTCTTGCTTAATCATCATCAGTAATAAAGAAAAAGTGCTTTCTCATTTACACAATCTAATTTCACTCTTCTGTGTCTTTCTTTATGCTTCCTACATGAATGACCATGTTCCTTTTTACCATAGTTTTTATTTTTCATTTTATTCTTAAGTTCTTACCTGTTTCTAAAAAGCCTAGCCATATCCAATCCGTGTATTTTTTTCCAAATACATCCTTCACTCAGCTCAGATTGCCTCTCATCTGTTCTCTGTAATACCCTACATTTCTATATACTTGTCACTATCTCCGAAGGGTAGATAATTTATATATATCCCAGTTATTAAATATACAAATAACAACATACAAATATATTCACATACATATGTACATATATACAATATTATAAACATATATGCACATATGTATGTGTATATATAACTGCACATAAATGTATACACATATCTACATGAATATATAATTTTAAATGCTTCAATATTAATGTGTGGTGGTTTTATTACCCATTTAAATGCCACTGAGGCCACACTGTCTCTGTTTAGCTATATAATAGAGAGGATAGATTTGAACCCAAGAATACCTGAGCTAAATAAGCTAGTGCTTATTTCACAATGCTACATGTTTCTAATTGATGTATCAGAATTAAATGAAGTGAATCATCATAAGATAAATGGCTCAGTATCATATTTTAAACAAGAAATTTGTTTTTCAATTTTTTTCCTCTGAAAGTATTTTAATATCCAAAATACATAATTATTATACATTCCAAAAATTATTAAATATGTCATTATGCTTAAATTATTTAAACTGATATACAATTATGGAGTTGGCAGATAATATCCATAATCTTAGTGAAAGAGTTCAAACATATTACTAAAATTGAATACAATTAGAAATAAAGAAGCTGATTTCTAAATATGAAAGATTTTTTTTACTTCAAAAATTTTCTATGTAAAATGTATAGATCCATGAATGAAGCAATTAATTCATATATCCAAAATTATACCAGAGTACTGTAAAAACATTTACTATTTGTAAAAGGAACTAAATTAACTTTTCTTTATATTGACATCCATTACATCATCAGGTTTTCTTCCATATGCATAAAACATAATTTGGTGTCATAAATCTAGACACAGCCAAAAATACAAGCGCCCATATAACATCCTACTTATGCAAATAGTGCATCTGTTGTTGTATAAGGAGGCCAAATACTTTCTCCAACTAGACTCAGAAATTCATAATACAGGAAAGATAAAATCAAAGATAAAACCAAATTCTATTAGAAATATTTAAAATGGTAATACATTCATACAATATCATTATGTGCATTAAGTCACTTTAAATTTCATAGGATATTTGGACATTAAATCATACTTTCATAATCCAATACCCATTGTTCCCAACGAAGAAAAGTTTCCTTTGCATTTTAATCAGTATAATTGTTACTTCTCAAACTATTTTACATTATCATACTAACAATTTCTTTTCTGGTTAATATTAAAATCTTCCCAATAGTCATCTATAACAGGAGGTTAAAGCAAGGGTAAAGTAACATGACATTTTTCTTAAATTTAAATATTATATAGAATCATTTTCTCTGTATAAGGAAATATTGCTTGTATACTCATGCTTTTATTTGCATTAATAATATGTATGACTTAAACATAAATAATGCTTTTTAGTTTTAGAAACATGTTTACATAACTTTTTTTTTTTTTTTGGTTTCTCCACAGGGCATGCAGGATCTTAAGTTCCCTGACCAGGGATCAAACCCGCGCCTGATGCAGTGGAAGTGTGGAATCTTAACCACTGGACTGCCAGGGAATATATTAAAAAGTTTAGCTCCAGGCCCAGATCTTATGTGTGATCTTTCAGTTCTGACTGTAGGCCATCACAAGGCTTCATCTGGCAAGTCTCAAAGGGGAAATTAGCCCTCTGTGCACCAGACTGAGTGCACATCTAAGGCATTACAGTTTTCTGGAGAGAGATGTAAACCCAGATCCACTGGCCTCCTCTGAGTCCCTCCCTGGCCAGCCATGCTCTGAAGCCTGTTTCTATTCTTAGCCCAGGTGCCTTCATTCAGAGGCCTCCTGGTGGAGGGGAAGGAAGTTTAGGCTGAAGCACTGTTCAGGAGCTCCTGCTTAGACCTCCTTTTGGGGTAGGGGAGCCTTGACTAAGATACTTCTCCACTCCAACTCAGTACTTTTCTACTCCTAGCCCTTCCCTCTCTCCCACCCCCAAGCTCCCTGGGTCCACAAAATGTCAGGAGTCTTTTATTCAAGTCTTCTCAGCAGTGAGAGTATTACCCCCACTTGTGCTATGTGTCATCAGACTGACACTTCCCAATACCAGTCCAGGGGAAAAATAGAACATTCCTGCCTCTCTTTTTGGCTTCCTGCCTACTCTGTTGCGGTAAATGAATAAAGGCTTGATTCTCACTTTCAGTTTGGCTCCTTGTCCTAACTGACCACTTCTACACCCAGCAGTTCAAAACTTAATCTTATGTTTCTCCCAACCACTCTGTGAAGACAGTTGATCAACTATTAATCCCAATGTATCAAAGAGAAAATCTGATACTCATGTAGAAAATTACATGCTTTAAATATAAGACATGTTTTACTGAATTCTGCCAATGACATTTAAGATTTGCTAAATGTGCATTGCTACTAGGTTTGTGCTTCACTAAATACATTTGAATTTATTATCTCATATTTAATAAGAACTGAGTGATGTTAGGTATTACTCACAGGAGAAACAAAATCTAATACTTATGTTGCCCATGGATAGAGCTCAATACAAAAGTAATGATCTCCAGAATATACAATTTATGGAACAATTACTGATACTGACCTCTCTTTATGAAGTGATTTGTATTTTATTCTAAAGACGTTTCTGAGCCTATCTATTGCAATTGTTTTTTCTCCTAAGGGTATGATGCACTTGCATCAATATCAGTGACCAGAGATTCACCATAAATAATCTATAATGATGAGGCAGGGGAAAAGGATGTAATTAGAAGGATTCATGACAAGGGGTTCTCTTCCACCTCCCACTAGGGTGTCCTGCCACATACTGTCACCAACGTTTTAGAACACTGATAAAACAAATAAAAACAAAATCAACAACAACAAAAAGAAGTGAAAGCCAAGCACTCTGAACCCCTTCTCAAAAGTATATTTTTTAAATGTTTATTTTGTATAGTAATAAATAGTAATACATTTCTTGTTTCCAAACTTAAAATTCTCAAGACAATACACTGTAAAAGTCTAGTTTCCATCCTTGTGCCCCAAATAAGTAGTCCTGAATCTAAACGCAGATAAAAAAAAATAGTGTCTTGAAGAAAATTCTGAAAATACTGTATGCATATTCAAAACAACACATATATTCTGTTTTTCTGCATTTTTTACACTAATGGCATTATAGTATTAACAATATTCAGTAATTTACTTTCTTATATTTACATCTATTTCATATATTTATGTCTGTATTCTTAGTGGTCAATTCATACCAGTGCATATGCCCATTCCTCATTCACATTTCAGCTACAAAGAAACTTGACTGACATAACATATTTACCCAGCAATAAATGGATGAGCATCTTGTTTCAACATTATTTTGCCATCAGATATAATGGTGCAATCAGCAATAGTGCAATAAATAACCCTGCATATATTATTTTTTGTATGTACAAATATATCTGTAGAATCAACTACTTGAATGAAAATTACCAGGGAAAATGACTGTAGAATGGCATCTTTGAAAAATATAGTTTTAAAGTGATTTCTTTGCTATTAATTACTTAATGTCTGTGACAACCACTAGAATATTAGCTCTGTAACTCTGTCTCTGATAAAATTTAGTGCCACTCCAAAGTGTAATAACACTGTTTTGCATCGTGTCCTTGTGGCTGTTATTGAATGAATGAATTCTATGGACATTATGAAATGACAGGTTGCTTATCTAAGAGCTGCCTATATATCCTTAAGCTACATACTCTCTCTCTGGAACACTTGGCATCATTAACTATTTTTTCCATTTTGAAACATTTTATACTATTGGCTTCTTTTGGCTCACCACTCTCTCCTAGCTTATACCTTTATACTATTGGCTTAACCTCTTATGCTACTGGCTTCTCTTTTACATTTTTTTGCTGTTGTTCTCTGGGCCTTGTTCAAATACCTAAATGTATTTGTTGGAGTGCCTCATGGACTCATCTATACTTATCTAAATAATCTCATCTGGTCCTCTGTTTATACTTACCATGCTGTGCCTTCCCACAGACATACCTTCAGCACTGATCTTTAGATGTTCACGTTAAACTGCCTTCCTGGATGCTTGAAAACATCCCAGTTTTAAATGCATCACACCACCACTACCCACTCTGTTGCAAATGCATGTCTAGGCCAAAATTCTCTCTTAGCTATATTATTCATTAGGCTCCTAACTTTTCTTGAATCTTGTTCCCCTAAAAATCCATTCTTCCCACAGCAGACACAGTGATCACTTACCATGCTAATGCAGGTACTGTCACTTCTCTTCTTCAAGCCATGGAGTGGCTGCTCATTGTTCTTGCTTTCCTTTCTTATGTCATCCACTCTTCTTCCTGATCATCATTCTCTGTCAGGCACAATGGTCACCTTTACATTCTACTATTCATTTGTCAAATATTTATTTAACAACTATTATGTGTCAGTCTTTACCTTCACTGACAGGAACACTGCTGATAAAAAATGGGAGGTAGTCAAAAGGTACAAACTTCTGGCTATAAATAAATAAGTCATGAGGATGTAATGTACACCTGTGACTATAGTTAACAATAGCATATTGTGTATTTGAAAGTTGCTATGAGAGTAGATCTTAAAAGTTCTCATCACAATGAAGCAAACAATTGTAATTATGTATGGTAATGAATGTAGCTAGACTGTGCTGATCATTTCATAATATATACAAATAATGAATCATTATGTTGTACACCTGTGACTAATATAACATTATGTCAATTATATCTCAATTAGAATTTTTTTAAATGGAAAAATCCCTGTTTATATAAAGCTTAATTATTTTTGGAGGAAAACAGGAAATAAAACACAAATAAATACATAATATGGCAGTGGTAGAAAGTACTAAGAATGAGGAAAAAATAAACAGGTTAAGGTTAAGGGTCATAAAGTGATGAGAGATGCAGTATTTACAATAGGGTTGCTAGTAAAAGCCATAGCTATAACTGAGGAACAGTATGGTAGGATGAAAGAGGAGCATTTACAAAGGACCTGAAGCAGGAACATTTTCTGTGCATTGAAAGAAGAATGTGACCAATGTGGCTGGAATGGTATAGGTGAGTGAGCAAGGAGAAGGAATTGAGGATAGTTTATCAGGAGGGTAAGATTATGTAGAGCCTTGTTTGATATGAAAGTTCTTTGGCTTTCATTGTGAGAGTAGAACCACAGAGATATGACATGATCTAACTTCAGTTTTGGAAAGATCACTCTCAGGGTAATGTGGAAATACAGTGGGTGGATATGGAAACAAGGATAAAAAGAGGGAGACTTTTTGGAGGCCAATGCAAAAATCTAAGTAAAGGTGATGGTGCCATGAACACAGGCTAAACAGTGGAGTTATTCAAAAGTTATCTGATTCAGAATGCATTTCAAACTAGATTTGCTAAAGAATTTCATGTGAAAGATGAAACAGAGGCATCCAGGATGGAACTGTGCATTTTTTTTGTTGTTTGTTTTTAGCTTAAGCAATTAGAAGATGCAGCAAATTGACCAATTTTAGAAAAAGTAGCTATTGGGGGGGTGGAGTCTTGCCATGTTCACAGGTCAGTTATCTGAGGTGGATCCAGAAAAGGGGAGAAAGGGCCGGTGCCCCTCATCTCTGCCCGCGCTGGGCCTGTGGCAGGCTCTTGGTGCTCCAGCCAGGCGTCAGGGCTGTGCCACTGAGGTGGGAGAGCCAAGTTCAGGACACTGGTCCACAAGAGACCTCCCAGCTCCATGTAATATCAAATGGCGAAAGCCTCCCAGAGATCTCCATCTCAACACCAAGACCCAGCTCCACTCAACGACCAGCAAGCTACAGTGATGGACACCCTATGCCAAACAACTAGCAAGACAGGAACACAACCCCACCCATTAGCAGAGAGGCTGCCTAAAATCATAATAAGGCCACAGGCACCCCAAAACACACCACCAGACGTGGACCTGCCCACCAGAAAGACAAGATCCAGCCTCAACCACCAGAACACAGGCACTAGTCCCCTCCACCAGGAAGCATACACAACCCAGTGAACCAACCTTAGCCACTGGGGACAGACACCAAAAACAACGGGAACTACGAACCTGAAGCCTGCAAAAAGGAGACCCCAAACACAGTAAGATAAGCAAAATGAGAAGACAGAAAAACACACAGCAGATGAAGGAGCAAGATAAAAACCCACCAGAACTAACAAATGAAGAGGAGATAGGCAGTCTACCTGAAAAGGAATTCAGAATAATGATAGTAAAGATGATCCAAAATCTTGGAAATAGAATGGAGAAAATACAGAAAAGGGGAGAAAGAAACATCCAGTGAGGTTGGAGGATGGAGTTAGAAACTATTTCAAGGAGGGAATGATCAGCGCTGTCAAATGCTGCCAAAAGTTCAGGAAGATGAGGAAGAAAGAGTGAATATTGGATTAGGCAATATAAAGGCTTTGATGACCTTGAGAATGGCCTTTTTTGTGGAATTATGGGTATATTAGCCTGATTAAAGTGCGTTCAATGAGCAATTAGAGGAGTGCAAGTGAAGACACTTGCATAGACAACTCTTTCCAGGTTTTTAGTGTAAAAGAAAAAAAAACCCATAGTTTCTACAGTGATTGAGATCAAGAAAATATTGTTTTAATTGAGATGGGGATAATATAGCATATGTGGATAACAATGGGAATGATCCAGTAGAAAGTGAAATTTTAAAGCACAATGTGACACTGCAAGAAAGAGCGGTGGCAGATGCAGTTAAGAATGGATGGGCTTCCAGGGTACTTTCAGTTCTTTCAGTTTCTGCTCTGGCTAATTTGAGGTTCTATTTTTAGTGTATAAACATTTAAGATTGTTATTTCTCCTTGGTGAACAGACCCTTTTATCAATATATAATATCTTCTTTTTTCCCTGGTAATTTTCTTTGCTTTGAGATTTACTTCTGATAGTAATATAGCTACTCAAGCCTTCCTTGATTAGCTTTTGCAGAGTATAATTTTTTTCTATCTGTTTGACCTTAAACTATCTATATCATTATTTTTGAAGTGAGTTTCTTATAGACAGCATATAGTTGGGTCATATTTTCTTAATACGCTTTGACAATCTATGTCTTTCAATAGATGTTTTAAAATAATTTACACAAATGTAATTATTGATTGATTTGGACTTTTTTTTTTTTTTTGGCTGCACCACACACTATGTGGGATCCTAGTTCCCTAACCAGGGATTGAAACTGCACTCCCTGCATTGGAAGCATGCAATTTTAACCACTGGACTGCCAGGGAAGTCCCTGGACTACTATTTTTTGTTATTGGTGTTCTTTCTTTTCTGTTCCTTTGTTTTCCCTTTTCTGTTTTATTTTGGGTTATTTGAATATTATGTTCCAGCTTAATTTATCATTTGTAATTTTGCACATATCTCTTTGTATAATTTTTTTAGTTGTTATCCTAGGACTTCAAATGCATACAGACGATTTAAAATCAACATTTTTCTACTTCAAGTGAAATTATATACATATATATATACACACACACATATATATAAACTATACATATATACTATGAATATATTCTCCTCTAGAGTTCTTAAAGCATGTTTAGCAATTGAAGCGTGTGTATGTATATAAATAACATACATATATGTGTGTGTATATATATATTATATAATTGCCAAACATTTGCAAATACTGACTTAAATATGTATCATTTCTGCTGCTCATCCTTCCTTCCTGATATTCCAGTCTTCTAGGTTTCCTTCTGGTATCATTTCCTTTCTTTCTGAAAAACTTTCTTTAGTAACAATTTTAGAGCTTATTTGCTGGTTATGAATTTTTTAGTTTTTCTTCATCTGAGAATGTATTTTCACTGGCTATAGAATTTAGCATTGACAGTTCTTTTCTCTCAATACTTTAAATATGTTGTGCAACTCCATGGTTTCTGATGAGAAATCTCTAATTATCTGAATTATCGTTACCCCAAAGGTAATACTTTCTCTCTCTGCTGCCAGGGCAGTTACCAATGCCATGGCACTGTCTATGATCTGGGGCATGAGGAAACAGAAAAAGGTAGAAGAAAAAAAAGTTACAGGGGTTTTTCTCGACTCACTCTGAGCTTTAGAAGTTGAGTTTCCTGCTCCTTAAGCCAGAAGTAGAAAGCTTCTCCTGGAGCTCTCTGTCTGCACCATCACATTCTACCCAGGTTTCCAGCTAAGCTAAGTCCACATGAGGGGGCTAGAGGCATCAGAGAGGAAAATAAAAAATAAGATCACGTAGCTTCAATGGTGCTTTGAATCTGGTCAGGCAGTTTCTGTTTACTTTTCAATCCTCAAATACTTTCCCCATGCGTTCTGTCTAGATCTCATTGTTGCATTCCACAGGAGAGTCAGGGTGGCATATGTGGACACCATACTACCTGGATAGAATCCTAAGGAAATTTCTTATGTTTGCACCTAGGATTAAGGAAATAAAGGATGTACAGGAATAATTTAAATGGAAAATGAAAGCAAAGAAAGTTTTCTTGTTTCCACCTTATTGTTTTCTTCTACATTTCAGTTAATACATAGACTATTTCAATACACCAAGTGTACCTATTTTATATCTGCTATCATATGCACTGCTTCTCCCATCTTGTACACAGGTATATTATGCTTTGTACCAGTCTTTTTTTTTTTTTTTGCGGTATGCGGGCCTCTCACTGCTGTGGCCTCTCCCATTGCGGAGCACAGGCTCCAGACGCGCAGGCTCAGCGGCCATGGCTCACGGGCCCAGCCGCTCCGCAGAATGTGGGATCTTCCCAGACTGGGGCATGAACCCGTGTCCCCTGCATCAGCAGGTGGAATCTCAACCACTGCGCCACCAGGGAAGCCCCTGTACCAGTCTTTATCCTAACCAAGAGACATTGATTTGAAACGATTCTGTTATCCAACCTACCCAACCTACTCTGGGAATGATTTGATCAATATGTCTGTGGTTTGTATGTCCAAAGCCATTGTAAAAAAGTTTGAACTTATAAAAAAAACATGATGGATAAATGTCTTGGGATATGTTCACATGTCTGAGTCAATTTGTAAGAATATTAGGTCTGTCTAAAATGCTTCTGAGTCAAATAACTGAAAGAGGATATGTCACCAAAACCCTGTAATGGAGTTTCCCTACACTGACCACTACTCAAATCCCAGTTCCTCTATCAGTCATCATAGTCATTCTCATGCAATGGTTTCATTTTCTGTGAAAATCACAAATACAATCACTCAAAAATATCTGCAGTCACTACACTACGAGGTTGTAGACAATTTGGAGCAACTGTCTTATAAAACTGATGAATGTTAAAATGTCCTTTGTGTTAGTTACAGGATGTGCTTACAAGTGAAATTACAGCCATTGGAATAGCTGATAGTTTCAAGAAATAAAATCACCCATTTCACAATATTTTCACAACTAGAAACCAAAGAACACAATTTTGTGATGTGAGGTGTAATGAAAAACATGTTATCATCAATTCAAACTATTTATATTTTTATATATAAAGTGAAAGCCTGTAACTTTAACTCTAACAGTGAGGAAGTGAGAATACTTTGTGCTTGTAATGAGATTTCAGTCAATCAGTGGAAGGATAAGCAAGCTGTGTTACCTTTGCCAAACTGTCAGCTTATATAACTACCTTGTGGGAAAACCACTACTAATGTTCGAGAATTCCTAATGCCTTAGAGCTCTCTTCATGTGCTATGACATGATAATAAGCTATGCCAGGCTGTGTGGGCTCTGTCTCTGCCAACTCATGAATATATTTTTCAAAAAGTTCCATAAACAGACGGGAGTCTAAGCTGCTTCTGTCTTCAGAGCCTTCTGTCAAGAATTTAGAAGCTCTCTTGTTGGAAAGACAAAATTAAATCGAAGCCAAATTGAAAATGTCAATCCTTACCAAGAAAATAACATTTAGGTCATAGTCAACTCCAAATGGTCTTAACATCATAAGAAATTGTAATTTCTAATCCAAAATATTTGAATATCTAAATCATATATTAGTGAGGCATATTCTGAGCTCTGTAAAGTCTGTGAGAAAGTATCATATTACTCTCCTGCTTTGCCAAAGCAGTGTTATGAGTAACCTGGCTGTTTTTTTGTTCTTTACGGTTTACTCTTCTACTTTTTTCACCTGGGTTCCTTATTTCTAGACTTCTTTTAAATTGATGTTGAAGGGAGGATAAAGTTAATTGTCATCATGAAGAGGTAGAAATATATGCTTGCTTGTTTGTTTTGTACTTACGTTGCAACTTGCAGAGTCATCACTATATTGGAATCATAATATGGTAGATTGCAAAATTTGCCACAAATCCATCCTTTCTTTGTGCCCATATCCTTTGTTAGTGCATCACTTTGCCATACGATTTCCTTTGACCAATGGGATATTAGCGAATTTGACATAGTGGGGCTTGTTTATTGGTTGCTTCAGGAAATGTAATGGACTTGGAGAAGCATCTCTCAGATCCTCCTTTATGGGAGGATGTATTTTCCAGCTTCAGGGAGTGCGGTTAGCAGACTACGTACAGTTATCAGCTCCCTCAGAGTCTACCTCAAAGATTCATGCTGCTGGAGGTGAAGCCTTTCTGACAGTCACTACTCAATCTAGAGCTCCCAGATGGGCTGGAGTGAGGATTCACTGGAGCTATTGCACAGTTTGACTTCTCTCTCTCCCTAAATATGCTTGTTTTTGTTTCTTTTTATAGACGTTGGTCACAAATAAACATCATGCATCCCACAGTCCATCTCCAAATTTGATCCTGAAAAATCCATCCTGAGACAGAACTCCATCACCATGTAAAGAAGCCTGGGTTAGTCTGCCAGAAGAAGAGATAACACGCAGAGAATAGATGAGCTATTCCAGCGGAGGCTCCACTGAACCAACCAAACAGTAGCCAACTGGTTAACAGATTAAAGACACGGGAGTGAGCCCAGCTGAGATGAGCAGGAGACTCACTCAGCTGAGCCCAACCCTGGTACAGGCTAGCAGTTTGTGATGGGATTGATGGTTTTTGTTTTAAAACACTTAGTTTTGTAGTGGTTTAGCACAGAGGAAAGGTAACATTAAAAAACTTTTGACACCCAAAACTGAAGGACTGCTGAACAATTGGGAGTTTGGGATTGACATGTACACACTGCTGTATTTAAAATAGATAACCAAGAAGGACCTACTGTATAGCACAGGGAAGTCTGCTCAATACTCTGTAATAACCTAAATGGGAAAAGAATTTGAAAAAGAATAGATACATGTATATGTATAACTGAATCACTTTGCTGTACACCTGAAACTAACACAACATCGTTAATCAACTATACTCCAGTATAAAATAAAAATTAAAAAAAAAAGGAACAGGCAGTACTGATTCACTGATTTGAATGAAATTCAAACTAGCAAAATGACCAACAACTTGGACTAAAGGGGTACGAGTTAAACTGTGAAGGGGCCTCTGGGCCCCCAACTGTCTACAAACAGAAAGCACATGGGCAGAACTATTAAGCTGCAAACATGGACCATTTCTTAAGAAAAATAAAGGAAGTCTTGGAAAAAAGAATAAATAAATTGGAGGGCAGAGCCAAGAGACTCAAAGAACGTTGAATGGGGGAGGAATTCCCAGAGAGTATCAGAGAAAGAATGACAGAGGAGCCACTTCCAGGCGCAAAATCTAGGTATAATGAAGGTACATTCTCTGTCACCAGAGAGCTGGATTTCAGAATGCTAAGGAGCAGCTGCTCTTATGGGAAAAGAAGTGTCCAGTGTAAGTAACCCCTCTCTCAACACTACATGTTGGATGAGTCAGTTTCTGACCCAGTTAGGGGAAATAAGTTGAAATCTTTTCATTAATATGTTAACAGAATCATTTTAAAATTGAATTTTGATAGTAATCTCCTTGAAATTGCTTATAAAGAACGGTAATATATTGCTGAGTTGCTTATGCTACTTTTAAACAGATAATATCTTTTCTATCTTAGGACCTTAAAATATCAATGTCAGGTTCTGTGTTCATCAATTTCTTGGCAACAAAATAACTTTAACCTGATCATTCTTGATTTGAAAATTTGCTAATTCTTTTATTTAATTTGTGAAGAATAAGTTTGGTAGAATGTTTAGATTCTATTCAAATATAGATATCTATTCAAGTATAGATACCCTATAATTGTAGGAGGTGAATACGACCACATTTATAAATATTGCCTAGGTGATGTCATACCTAAGAATGTTGTTTGTAAATATTGATGGGTTAAAAAAATCAGTGGGCAACTTATTAAAATTCAGGTGGCGGGAATTCCCTGGTGGCGCAGTGGTTAAGAATCCACCTGCCAATGCAGGGGACATGTGTTCGAGCCCTGGTCCGGGAAGATCCCACATGCCACAGAGCAACTAAATCCGTGTGCCACAGCTACTGTGCTCTAGAGCCTGCGAGCCACAACTACTGAAGCCTGTGCACCTAGAACCCGTGCCACAGGAGGAGAAGCCACGGCAATGAGATGCCAGCACACCGCAATGAAGTGGTCCCCTGCTTACCACAACTAGAGAAGGCCCGTGTGCAGCAACGAAGACCCAACACGCAGACAAAAATAAATAAATAAATAAATGTATTTCTTAAAAAAAAAAACATTCAGATGGCCAAAGAATCATGTTGGTAATGTTGTATTGCTAATAAAAGCTAGGAGCTCCAGGATTTGTGAACCGTAATTCTAAAGGAATTCACTGATAATAGAATCACCTAAGTGAATATATTAGATAGTATAAGAAAACATACCAGTGATCCTTTTCCATATAACAGAAAAATGAAACACTTTGAAATAACATTTTTTTCTATCTTTTTTAGTCTTAAAGAAATGATAAGAACTGGGTTACCATAAACATAAAATAGTCTCAAAGATATTTGTTCAAAATACAAAATTCTATTCTACTCCTTCCCATATGAATCAGAATTTTAGAAATCAAAGCCCAAGGAATCAAGCCCAGAAGTTGATTGAATAAGTGCTTCTTAAAGTAATTCTTAAAATAGAGAACTTACTAATGAATATTTTTATGTTGATATACCATCTACTGCTTAGTAAGTATCCACCTTTGACGTGCATTGTATGCAAATGCCTCTCAATCTCATTTATTTTACTGCTCAAAACAAGCATATGATGTAGATATTCTCATACCTATGCTCCAAGTGTAGAAACTGCAGTGTAAAAGTATTAAATAATTAGCCAAA